AATTTCATAACTAAATAAATGAGGAAAAATTAAAGACCCTCCCTCTAGCAAATACATGTATATATCCATGCAGTCCCTAAAGTTTAAAGGTCCAGTGTGTAAAATTTAAGAAGATCTATTGGCAGCACTGGAAGACAAGGTATGTTTTCATTAGTGTATAATCACCTGAATATAGGAATCGATATAATTTCTTTACCTTAGAATGAGTCGTTTTTATCTACAGACTGCAGGGTTGGCTTCCATGGAGTCTGCCATGTTCCTGCAGTAGCCCAGAAGGGGACAAGCATAATGCTGGCTCAATTTTTTCGCATGTTCCTAGTTTCTCCTTTGCGCTTGGAGGGGGATTGTGAAGCAGGGAGTTGCAATCCTACACACTGGTGCTGCAGAAGGTAACTTCTATAAAAATAACTTTTTGTCATGTTTGCTTCACTACATCCTGACAGTAGTACATGAGACAGATAATCTGTGAAAACATTTTGGCTCTTCACAGTGCTTCTCCACTGCGTCTGAACAAAAGCAACCAATTAGAGCCAAGAAAGATAGTTGATTGTTGAGTTTCATTCCCAGGTTGGTGAATGAAACTCAACAATCAACTATCTTTCTTGGCTCAACTCTCATTCAACTGTCTTCAAGCCACCAACCTAAAACATCAGTATTTGACAACCTGGGAATCATATGGCAAGTTATTTTTATAAAAGTTACCTACTGTAGCTTTAAAGCGCCTGTTAAAGAAAGTTTGTTTCAACAAAAGCGTGTTGTCAGCTTTATTCATATCCGTCTCTGCTGGCTTGACTGTTGTTTGACTATTTAAAATTCCATGAAACTGCAGGATAATGTCAGATAATTGTTATGCGAGCCAAGCTTCCAGTGTGGCCTCCACAGAAAAATCGAGCTGCGTCTGTTCTCCATATCAACAGATGGACACACAGACAATAAGTAAACAGCGCATACCAATGAAGAGCTCAGCTCTCAGCCTCACCCCTCCAGGAACTGCGGCGTAATCACCATATTTGGATGGCTTCAAATCCTCGGGTGCTACTGAAGATTTGTAATTGGAGCTGAATGGTTGCAAACTGACTTCTCCCACGAGAGGGATTTAGCATGCCCTGCACCAGCCACTGTGGTGGTATTTTGACAAGTATGGGTGGGGTTCACGTCACGGACTAGCCATCTGGCATAGCGGCCCATGTCACACAATAACACAGATACCCTCCAGAGCCGAGACTCGAGTCTGGAGGGCCTCTCTGTCTCTGCATGAGTCTTGAAAGCAGGACAATGCCTGCCAGCTTTGTTTTCTGGTTGCTGCATTATTTCTTCCCTGTGCCTTCCACTTCCTCTTTCTGACTGAAGGAAATTCCATTATGGGATGAGAAGCCTGAAAATCTGATCCACTGTTGTTTGTCTGTAGCACTTCAGCACTTCAGTTTAAAGATTCTGCAGAAGCAATCTCATGATGGGAGTTTGTATTTTTAACATTATGACAGCAGTGCAGCAAACTGATGGTGTTTGGAAGCTTTAACTGCGAAGGTTTATAAATCTTTATGTAGTAAAAATCTGTTTTGATAATGCCTGGTGGGTAATTTGAGGTAGCTAAATAGCTCTGCCTGGCTCTGATTCATCTTTTATGTTTTCTCCATTTCTTCTTTGGAAATTTATTTTGAGGAAAGCAGAAAGTCATACAAAAATTGAATATGCATAATTAATCAATAGCCAAACCCAAATACGTCTTTTACACAACAACATTTTTATTTCAGAAGTGTATTGTTTACGAACAAAAATAGAAGCTTTTAATACATATCTTGAAAGAAAGAATTGGACTGTGCACCTCTGCGGGTAGAGCAACACTGTGAGGATTAAGAGCTATTCCCACGGCGACTGCACAAGTTAAAAATGTATGCACACATGATCCTGTGAGGCACTTTGTATAAAAGCATCCAGTAAGTGGGCTGTTCTGTTCTGGTCAAAAAAAGATGACAACAACTAAAGGCCCCCGCGCTGCTCGCTGTAGTGTAGGACTTCAACCACTAAGACGGGATGAATGTTGATCATACCTGTACTAACTGACTGTGGAAATTTCCATGTATTTCCTGTGAAGTATTCTTTCATTCACTATTTCCGATGTGAGATTCACACTCCAAACACCACATTAGCACTTTCATCATCTCACTCCGAGGCAGTTACAGCTCAACATCTGCTTCTTCCACTCTGCTTTCATTCCCATCCAGAGCGTCAGCTGGATGCGGATCCTCGAAACGTCAGGCACCAATTTTAATCTCATTGTGTCCGAGTATACTTCCGTCCCTGTGCTCCTTCCTCACAATACATTTGTCCAAATCCCTCTGACATGACACATTAAACCCGTAACAGCTATAAATTATACAGCAACCCTTGGAATGTGTCTGATTTGGCCTTTATAAGATAGAGTCTAATAGTCAAAGATGACCCCATTTTTAATGAATGATTTAAGAGCAAGAGTGGATTTATGTGTGTCCAAAGTGATGCAGCGGAGAACTAAATATTGATGGTATGGGGATGGTGGGGGATTCACTGATCTCTTCAAGTAGGGAAAAATAACTCCTTCTTCTAGAGAGGTTTAAAGCTTCAAAGGCCAAAACAAATCTATGAAATATTGAGAGCTTGGAGAAGAACTACATTAATTCTAGCACTGCCACTCATAACAGCAGCAGGCATGTCAGTAGGATAACAACTCTGATTTGGAAATTGGTAGCACTAGACCTCTAAATTATCTCTAAACAATAGATTGTTGTCCTTATGCAAAATGTAAGCCCTACAAGAGCTTGCATGACAGTTCAAGTACACCAAATATATGCACATAAACAGCACAAACTGCAGAGGCAGGACATTAGGTTCATCTTTATTCATTTGTTTTTCACATACTAGCCACATTTTGCATTCGTTTAAAACTGTAGTTAGGCAGCTGCATTAAAATAACCCATTAATAACCCCATTCATAGTTTCAGTACGGCTTTCCCTGTCACACCGACTCTCAGCCATTGTCTTTGACTAAATACTGCTGCGTTGGAGTGAAAATGCTTTTCGGTATCAACGCAGAATCACACTAGCATGTATTTTGTGTGTATTGTTAGAACTGAATAGAAAGCATCTTCAATCTAATGTTTGTAATTACTAGGAGTGCAAAGCTATTATCTGTATCACTTAATTTCACACATAATATCTGCATTCTTATCTGTGTTCTGATTCACACAACAACTTGCTGGGAATTATCTACTGCCTCCTTCTTCTATGTCCAATTGCTTTCTACTAGACAAAAATTATATTATATTAAAAACATGTGCCTCAATTATTCAAATAAAATGGTGGTGTGCTATTGATAAAAAAAGTTAATTGTGTAGTATAGTTTAATTGAAAAAAAAAACTAAATGGAGGGGTGCATGCAATTGGAGAATAAAGTTAAAGTGTCTGGCTTTTTTGGCTGTTCTTCTAAGATGGTCCCTAATTCATTTATTTTTCTGTCTACTGCCAAATAATGAAAGATTTCAAAGAGTTTGTGTGTCAGGCTTAAATATGGCATTAACAGGTGTAAATAACACCTGTGCAGCATCAGTCAAGCTTCATGCAAATCTGGTCAGAACGGATCATGATTATTATAGACTGACCACACCAA